TATGTATAATAATTATCTTTAAGGATTTTCACCTTAAACAACGTGAAGCACAATACGGTTGATTCACCGAGCATTCCCGAGTCTCGTTGATGTACGGGGGCTGAATAAAGTATGAAACCGTTCTTCCGCGATACTAACGACTGTCTCTTCTATTCTCGCAGAGTTCCCGCCGCGTCACAATGGATGTCGAAACCGGGGCCATCCTGGCCCTGCAGATATTGGCTCTGTGTTCGATAGTCGCCGCCCTGCTGGCTTACCTGATGCGACAGTCGAGGAATGCCGCCGACGAATACGAGTCGCGTAACAAACGTCACGTACTCGTTACCAGCTGTGATACATGCGTAGGCCTGCAGATCGCCCTTGCACTCTACGAAGCCGGTTACAAGGTAATAACGGTGGCAAGGGGTGCGCGTGTGCCGTCATAAATTAACGGCGGCATAAACTCCGCCGTACGCTCGCCCCCGTTACGCTGCCAGCCGCCAATATTCTCTCCGCTCGGCCCGGCGAATATTCAAAATTGAGAGCCGCGCGCTATAAACGCCGAAGGCTGCGCGCGAAGTAACGGCTCGCCGCTTTGTTGCGTGGGAACTGCGTTCAACTCTTTGCGCGCCGACGATTATCGGAAATAAGCGAGTCCGAGGCCAAGTCTTGCGTTACTTGCGGCGTCAAGTATGACTCGGTTCTCCGTTTCTTGCCTGTCCGTGATTATCGTTGGAATTGGGTCGAAGCGATTAGTCGGACTGTCTCAAAGCCGGCTCTATAATTGCATAAACTTCGCAAATTTGTAGCGGGAACTCGTGTACATTTCCCCGAGGAGGAACGCATTCGTATTTGTCATCTTTACCCTTTCCTTTATTACGCGAGATAGAGCAGCTTCGCGAGCAGCTGTCAGCTGGTTTTGGGCGCGCTGGCTTGAACCGGATGGACGTCGGGTACCTTGCACGTCCACTCTTTCCGCGGTTTCGCGAATCTAAACGAGCAAAGTTGAGCGGTGCCGTGCGACCCGACGACAAGCGTTGAAACGCAATATCCCGCGGCCTTACGTTCCGAATCCCCATTATCCCTTCGAGCGTGCAACATATTTCAGATTGTCGGAGTCCAAATTAGTTTCCTCATGTCAAGGGAGCGGAACATCGGTGAGCCCTTAAATCAGTCCCGCCGACAGTTCCTCGACAGGTATTCACGTATCTGCCCGGTCCCGCTGAGTATATCGTGTCACCATTCAAGAGTCGCTTCGCCAAAGATCCCCACCGAAAGACAGATACTCGGCAAAGTCAGACCCGGGTAATAACTTGCGTCCTCTCCACGCGTGCGCTCCTTCGCCAAAGATCCGAGATCGAATGGCAATATTTCCTATTTCTCCAGAGATCCTCCTCTCCAATGGGACAATAATTTCATCCTTCTCATACGTAATATACGTATCCGCGAAAAGGTCGTCTAATAATTGAATCGGTTCTCAAAGTTTTAACCATGAAGTTAGTTTTGTCCAATGCTGCGACTTTTAACATTTAAAACGGCATTTAACGTTGAAATCTCGCTTCACTTTTGTCAATTAGCGATTTGTAGTCAATCGGCTTACGTGTTCCCTAAGCATTTTAATTGAACTAAACGGCGAAATTTTCACGTGGTACAAAGGCAAAATTGATATAGGTCATTTGTGTATAGGTTCCAATTGCGGTTTGATTGTTCCACGTGTTCTGAAATGCGAGCTTTGGATTACCTATTACCTTTCGTGCACCAAAGGCTGCATGCATCAAAGGACCGCTACCGATTTACCTTTAATTGATTTTAGCAATTAACAATTCGGAGCGAAATTGAGCAGATATTAAATTGTAGGAAAAGATATTGAAAGTTTAGAACCTACGGCGCAAAATCACTTGGAAGCTTTTTTTGAAATATACAAAATAAGCAAAATAATTTTAATGACTGATATCGATATTAATGTTGCTAGATGATAATTCACATTAAGTAAATAATAATTCAAAAGCCAAAATTATTCTTTGCAACAGTATTCAATTTTTAAATGTAAAAGATATTCACGTTCACTCAATGGAACACGATTGAATTTAATCGAATAAACTGGTATTTAGTAACAATTTTAACCAAAAACCTTAGAAAATAGCAATGGCTCGTATGATAAAATGAAGAAATGAAAAAGGGGCTCAGAGCCTGAGCAAGATTGTAGAGTCCAATAAAATAATCTTAATTATTTTATTGAACACTACAACCTTGTTCAAGGCTCTGAGCCCCATTTTTACTTGTTCATCTTAGAAAATCTCTACTGCAATTAAAGAAAGCGCCCGAAGGAAGAGTCACAAGTTTTTCGCGTCTTATATAAGATCCAGTTCATTAGTCACAATCGAGCTTATGTGTCATTTAACATGACCTATCAACGTCAAAGCATATCGTGCGGTATCGAGCGGTGCCAATATAGTGTGTAACGGAGTGGCACGTGGAATGTGGGCTTGCGGCAGCGGCGGTCTTTCAAAACATAATGTATAACGTGTCATGTTCCCTCCGCGACAGGTGTTCGCGGGTCTGCTGGACCCAACGGGCGGCTCGTCGTCGGTCAAAATCTTGAAGGCGGTTGAGCTGGCGCGGCAGAAAGAGGACGAGCCCGGCGGTGCGGGCGATGGTGATCCGCAGCAACCGGAAGCCACACGTGCCCGCGGTCAAATTGTGCCATTGGAACTGGACCCGACGAGGGAGGACAGTTTGCGCGCTTGTTTGGACGCCGTCAGGGCGAAACTTCCGGCCGGCGAGGATGGCAAGATGTTTTATTCATTTAGCCCAGTTTCTTTCGTTAACCGTTGAATCGAGCCAACCGAGAGATGACCGCAATACTGACTTTGAAGTAAATAGAAAGTTAGTAATCCGAGGGAAAACTAAGCTAAAAAATAAACGGACGTCGGCGCGCAAGTTTGAGATGTTAACAAAATAATTAGCCTTCTTAAATCGGCGACTATTAAAAAACGCGCACAATTTAATATACACAATATATAGAAAGTGAGAGAGAAAGAGACAGAAGCGAGCTTTTGCATGGATGTCACACTTTCGTTTTAATAACGTTATAACGTATGATTGGAGAAAGGAGAAGCTGCGGCGCGATATTCAAGTCTTTCAAGATCGGCGAGTTTTTTATTCGAGCTACATTTCTCGGATTGAATTATTATCGGCGCCGAAGAAACTGGGCAATATACTCGTAGAGACAGATCAGAAAAGGAACTTTCGAATGGGCGAAACTTTCGGCGTCTCTCCGATATCACGTATCCAAAAAACTTTTTACCAAAAATGATCCAAACTATGAACCTGCGTGTAAAAGAAACATTAGTCAGCGTTGTGTACCACGTATAAATTACATAAATGATATCTTCGTACGTAATCTGTGTAGAAAGTGCGTCGTGTATGTAAATAATGCTTTTAACGGCTATGCTTTCCCTGCCTCTTTGTGTGTGTTTTGATTAAATTTATAATTACTTCCTTGAGACGTTAAAGTACTGACCTGTTAAAGCCATTCTGGCTTCAGTATTAAAGTCATTGTCGAATATTAATTTCTACTCTTTCATCTAAAACGTTTAGTTATGAAATTTAACTGAATTTCGCTCGTACACGGATAAATAATGCAATATATTTAAACAAGCAATAACTTACTCGCTTTTATAAGGCTCTTCCCTGTTTAGTAATTTGTAGATTGCGTAAAAAGAAGTATGTGTTTACATTGAAATATTCCGTAGAAGATTCCATCGATTTAATAATGCTCATAAATTTATTACTAATATTTACGTTGTCTTATAAGTAATAACTAAATATATATTAAAACATGCATATATATAATAGCTATTAAAACATAGTCGCTGTTTCTTGGCTTCACAATTTATGATATTAATTATAATGCGACAAATAACGAGTGGAAAATGTGCAATATTATTCCCATATACAAATTAAATTTTTACTTTACTAGCCACATAATTGCGCTAAAAACAACATTGGGCCTGCATTTCTTTTGATTTACAACATTTAAAAACTTCCCATAATTACCACCTCACAAATATTTCAGTGTCGCATGACGCACATTTAATTTTAATTAACTGCGCTAATTGATGGCTAAGCTTACACAAGAAAAATGAAATAATTTTTCATAGAGATTGTAACGAGCGTCAGTTGTTGCATGTTCTCGAATAACGCCGATGTTTATTCAGCTATAGATAAGTTGAAAGTTTCTACGTATTCAATTTCACTTTTATACGCTGCTTCGTTAGTTCTATTACTAGTTATCCCCGCGAGAAGCAGCAGTGAACTCGGAGTAATTCATCCGGTAGTAATTTAATGAAATTTGGCATTGAACGAATAATGTTCCGGGTATGGAATCAGTGCCCGTTTTCATAATAATTCATTCAGCTTGTTAGGTCCGATAAAGCGCCCCGGGGACTTTATCGACGATGGATAGATGTTGGTAGAATTATCACGTGTACGGCGACCGGGGAAAGCACGCGAATTAAATGCCGCACGATTTTTACGTGAAAAATCTTTAAGACAGAAAAGTAAAATACACGCTCGTATAAATCATTCAAAACTTTAATGCACTTTCAACCCCCCTTTCACGATGATTCCATCAAGATTTTTACGAGACGAGTATTTGCATTCGCACAGATTTGTCGTGCAATATATCTTGCGCATATAATGGAAGTTTGCGTAATGGGAAAACACGAGGAAATAACATACCTTCATCGCGCAGAATAAATAAGCGCAAACGTCATATTCGCGGATTTTTGCTATACGTTACATCCGCGAACTGTCAGCCGAATGTTTTTCGTCGCGAAAAATGAGACGGGAAGCGCCGAATATATTTGTTTAGTTAGCGCGGCTAGCGGATGCGTGAGTGGGTGGGTGCACTTTCGTTTTATAAGTCATACTTCCGATCGGAAATGCAATTTCAAATGCTCGATACCACCGGGGACCGTAATTGCAGACATCCTGAGCGGTATTTACTCGCGATTGCCTTCCGCTCGCTGTATATAACGTTCTCGTCAGCGCGCGTACCAAGTTCGGCGAAATAAATTTCCATCTGCCACGTTTCCGCGCCACCGCGGATAGACGCTTTTCAAATACGCCAAGGCGTTGAACTTTATTTAATTGCAGGTCTCTGGGCAGTCGTGCACACGGGCGGCTTGGTTTTACCAGGTGTCATAGAGAAACAAACCAGCTCGATGTGGGAGTCCATGCTGCGTTACAACTTGGTTGCCCCGCTGAGAACGGCCAGAGTATTCATCCCCCTTTTGCGCATCAAGAGAGGTTCGTCGAAATCTTCTAAGATCAGAGGAACTATTGCCTGCCGCCGCGTACAAAGGATTAGACACTTCCTGTCGTCTCGCTTCGAGGAGGACAATTGATTTTTGGGCGACGAAAGGAATTTTGTCGCAAGTTACAGCAACGACAAACCTGAGAATTGTGAGAGGGAAATAAAAGTAAAAAATCACTCGCTACAAAAATAATCGAGGTTTCTCCGACAGCCTAAGTTAATGAGGAATTTGCTCGCTCCTCGAGGAAGTGAATTGCTCCTTTGAAAGCTGCGGCAGTGCACAATGGCACGAAGTGGAGCACTCGAGCTGCAAGACTGTTCATTGATAGCAAATGCCATATTCATTCTTTAAGCGGCTTACTGAAAATGTTCCGTTCTGTTTCTAAGGCCGCATCGTTCTTTTGGGCGACTCCGAGACGAGCTACGGCGGCAAGGTGGGCTCCGGACTGGTGGCGTTCAGCGCGTCGCGAAGAGCCGTGGAAGGTGCCGCGGAGGCGTTAAAAAGCGAATTACATTCGTCGGGCGTCGACGTCGTGCTTCTCAAACCGCCGCCCGTGAATCCCCTCGTTCTTTATGCATCGCCCGTTCTCAAGACGTAAGACGCTACCCAACTATCAGTTTACGATGCCTCGTTTCCGCGGGCTAACAAAGATGTTAAAGTCGGCTGCAGACGCCGCGCCCGAAAGTTTCAGCGAGTTCCTTCGCAATTTCGTTCTCTTTCGAATATGTTCCCGTCTATCTCCCCCCCCCCCCTCTCTCTCTCCGTCTCTCACGCACACAATTCTCTCGTTAACGATATTAATTCCAATCTTAGAAATTGGACCATTATTCCGTATTTCGGAACGTTGCTCTCCGACCACTTATTTTCCGAACAGCGTAATGACCAGACGAGAATGACAAAGGATATCATTCTACCTTACTAATTTAGTTTTGATGAGCAGAAAAAAAATGTAATTTCGTCTGGAATTAAATTAGTGAAATGATTAAATTAGGTCATTGCAGAGAGAAGGAAGGAAGGAGAGAGAGAAGGCGCCAATATTTTAGAGTCTTAAAAATTTATCTACACCTTCCCCCTGTGCCAATGCATAGCAGCTCGTGATAGACTTAATTGCTATGAACGGCGCTCAATTATTTGCAGGGTCGACGTGGAGTCTGGCGTAACAGCCTCGGAAGGGACGTGGACCGCTCCGCTATCGATTCATTCCGTGCAGAACGCTCTGATTCCTGCGATTACGACGTCGTGTCCTCTAAGCGTTTACGATATGTCCATCAAGCCGAGGCTCTTCTGTCGATAATTCCGTCTACGTCGCGTAAACGGACCGAAAGATCGTGAGACGTAATAATATCGCGAGACTCCCTCGAGAGAGTTGATGCGATACGCAATAGGTGTACGGAAAACAATGGAAAGTGCGGAACATAATGGTACACGCATGTTCGCTGCGGTGTCATTTGCGTCGACGTGTCATTCCGCGTGCCCTAAAGCATCACATGCGGGATTTCTTTCTCGATTTTGCGGCAGGCGACACTTTCTGCGTGTGAATCATGTCATTTTTTCATGCGCTTGCCCCGAGCGGTATCAATTATGAATTCTCGCTTTCATTCCTTATTCATTATTGTGTTTGCTGTCAAATGCAGGCATCAATTTCAGGAGATTATTTAACAAAACAGCCGATAACTTTTATCGCCGATAGATTAAATTCGGTGATAATCCTTGCTTTTGACAAGCGCGTTTTCCATCTCTTTTCCCTTCGAAAATAAAATTATTCTAACGCTATTTACGTCGTAAAAGTAAGATTGTTTCCAGGGTATCCGTTAGAGTCCAGTATATTTTAAAACGCCGTACATTGAGTCCGGTGGATTTATCTTCGATTGCGATGTTTAAATATTTCGCTGTGTTGCGACTTCATGAAATGTATATTTTAAGAGGTTGAAACGAAAAATGTGTTTTACTTGAAAGGTTTCGGGCGAGTGTGTACGCGAAGGGTAGAAAGGAGTTTTCTATACTTGCGCATTTGTAAATATCAGATTTATAATACATAAAATGCCCGGATAACTTTCGTAGATTTGAAAATATACGTGCAGCAAGGATTTTATACAATTTGTATAATTTTTACAAGCGAGCTTTCGATGAATAGTCTCCTTTTCTTCGCGATTATTTGGAAGTTTATTCAAACGGAGTTTTCCACAAGTTTGTGTTTTTCAATCAGTTTTCAATAATTGAAGATTAATGTATTTTCTCTTATATGCTTTACGTCACATTTTTGAAACTACAAAAATAGTATTTCATATTTCTTCAAATCCACAACAGTTATTCGGTCGTATTGTTTCTCTTAGTAAATTATTCCATATAATTATATATGTCAACCTTCATGGAAGTTATTTATATTAATGAAGCATGATTAAAGTATGAAGTTTTTGCCAATAAATCTCTTTTTAAATGGAAATGATTCTTTTTTTACAAAGTTCGCAATATACGAATATAAGTGTATTAATTTAAGATGAAAAGTAATTTGTAATATATATATATACTACGATTATGTATAACATCGATAGTAGTTTTACATATGTATTGTTTATCGAAATATGTATAAAACAATATAGAAATAAGAAAAGACTCTTGTGTGTGGTATTTCATTTTTCAACACTTGTTTCATTAACAGTAGAAACATTCACAATATATAAACCACATTTGTCCCACTTTTAATGCTCAACTAACTAGTTTAATATAACATGTATTTTTAACATAAAAACTACCACTTTCAACAAAAAATGGTATAGCTGGCAAGCGTGAGAGCTGTTATTTAACTCGTAATTACGTTCACTTGGTTAAATGGCAATTGCGTGTAACTTTCAAATAAAGTTCTGACGAACTTTGAGCGGAACGATACATACAGTTTTGACCAGGAAGCGTTATTCAAAAATTTTCCGAACAATTATGTCTTCTTGATTATACAAAAGTATATTTCATGAAAGAACACTTCGGTAATAATAGAGCATTGGAGCACGTCAATCCAATAAACTGAAATATCTTCTCTCTCATTAAACACTGCATAATATTGTACATGCCAGGCAATATTTTGTAGGCCCAATTATGCCACTGAATTCTATAATTTGCCCCGCGGTCGTGATTATTCCATTCGCGATACACATCTAGTAGTATAATATAAGCCGCACATTATCTTGCGCGTCGGCGACGCTCAGAAGTTCCCATTACAAGCTTCGTGGATAACGGGCTTCATCGTGAATAATTAATTTGTACGTTGCTTATGCGCGATGTGAATAATAAAATTTCGAAGTAAGATTAACGCGCGGCGCGTAATGCATATGCATCGGATGTAAGTAATATTACTTGTTATTCCCGCTGTCGTGACTATCGCGCTGGAAATTAACTGATCCGACTGCTCGCCTCCTAGTTTTGCCACGGGGTCGGGTGGAGTGATGCCACAGGAAAATTGCGCGGTGCAAGAACGAGCCGGGTAATCGAAAAATCCGCGCGCGCTTTCTCCGTGCTCTCGGCGAGAGAGCGAGCAAAAATCTCCGGGTCTGCTGCGGCCTCGATTGCGTTATCTTTACGGCAACGCGGATGAAAAATGTTGATTGACTATTTCGGCAATTGGCACGTGACAAGCAACAACATTTCATAAGGTGCCGAGGCCGCAGCCGCATATTTTACAAAATACCAAATGGTGCACGTAACCACCTATTACGATTAAAACTTGCGTTTACAATACAATAAAACATATCTTTTGAAGTAGATGTATAACTGGCATATTTGCAATTACACACGCGATGGAGATATTAATGTTTCCTTCGTGTTCATTAAAAAAATTCGACGCACACGTTTTAGTCAAGCATAATCAATAGATAGAGGAAAGTGCTCTATTATGAGATAGTAGGTTTTCAACGTCCAAATTCAATCATAAACCTTTTTTCAAAACGACCACACAATCTGACAATCGATTTTCCACTAAAGAGAGATTTCACTCCAAAAACAATAAATTCATGGTGGAACCAACAGATAATGCCTGTCTCATAATAGGGGACTTTCCTCTACAATCACAAGTGCGACTCTATCGTAAATTTAATTCTTTTTATAATTTTAAAATCTTTCTCAATTTTTAATATTAATATATGCACACTTTATTGTTATATTAATGAAATAAACATTTCTATTTTAATTAATTGGCGCGTTAGTGATACTTGAAAAATATCTAGATATCGTATCTTTCATTGCTGCCTCCATTTCAAAACTTTACCCTTTGTCACGGATGATATTTCTCAAATTCGCGAGAGAGAACATAATTAGCCACTTCAATCAGGGAATATCAGCAAGCTCGTGAATAATCGTGCGCGTTTGAAACTCATCACTTTGACAAAAGATATTGTTATTAATTATTACATTAGAGGAGGTATTTGACATGCAATCTCATTGTGTTTACAATTCCACCAGTGCCTTCACACGAGTGCACGCCGTGGCGGAAAGCGAAAGAGGATGACGGAAAATAAATTCTCATTTTCAAACTGTGACGAAGTTGAAGATTACGTTACTTCAACCTTTTGTTGTTCAATTACTAAAAATCCTGTAACGCTTTAATAGAACCAGCCTCTGTTAAATATACACATGTTTCTTTTCACGTTTCATGAGGAGTCTAAAAGTGTGTGTAGCTTTAAACCTAATCTAAATCTCCTATTTATTTGCGAGCGTTTATAGAAAGGTGGTGGCTCAAGTAGAAACGGAACGTAAAAATTAGTACACGTTACACTGTACATTTATTATTTCCGAGCCATTGCTGCCCCGGTCGTAAAATCGCGCCGCCAATTCGTGTCTGGCGGTGACGAAGACCGGGGTCGTACCACGGTCGTTGTTTCAAAGAATTATTATCATTTCTACGACCGGGCTGGTCACACCTCTTACTGTGCGGTAGCGGGGACCAACCGCGGGGTACGGCAAACGAATTAATGGTTAAAAGGGACCGTTTTTGCTGGTCCGAGGGTGGCCGCTGCTATAAAACGACCCCGTTCCTTTCGTCCTGGTGGTAGTCCATCGGCGGTTTTCGTAAAGGAAGAAACATGGCCCTTGTGAAGGTAAACTGAAGTCGATAGCGCGGCATTCGATATCGTAAGTTGATACGCCGCGGGCCGTAGGCAGTGTAGCGGAGAATATTACCGGGGCCGCTTTGGCGTAACGGAAATTCGCGTTGTAACAGGTCGGACGGGGGCATGCACACGTCGCTTATAATTACGTATTCTTGCGAACAAAATTGTGGAAGGTGTTGCATCTTTTGTGAGCGCGTTACGCCGCTGACGTCGGAATAATTGCGCATCCCGGAAAGTATTAGCGTGGAAAGCGTTACAATGCGAGCGAGTTGCCGGGCGCCGAGTAATTTTTACTTCACCCGTACACCCGTAATGCGCGACCGTTACACAACGATTATATAACGATCAAAACGGAAATGTACAATATTTTGCCGTTACGAACATCGCGGTGTATTAAAATCTCCCGATTGTATTACGAATTCAAACTCTTAAGGGGATGCTGGAGTGGTTTGATTTACCGACAGAGTCGGATACCGTTTTTGCGTTTGTAAATCTTATTATTTGAATTTATGTAAAAAATAATACCAGACCCAAGTGTAGAATGCATAGTTGAACATTTTCGTATAAAAAACATTGAGATTTGAAGTCTAATTCGTATCGCATTATGTATTACAAATATTGCAATAC